GTTTCACCTGAAAATCACACATTGAATAAGATATTATAATTAGCCCAGGCAAAACTTATTGCTCTTAGGTACACTGTAAATCTATAGAACTATATGATTTATGAATAAAGCCCATTTCGAGTGCCAGCTCATCTTCTTCAGATATTTGTGGACACATTCTGCATCTACCGGATACCTTACACATAAAGTTAAAACAGAGGAAATTAGAGTTGGATAAATAGTACATAATTTTCCAGTCATCTGTAAATAGTTGGCGGACAGATAAAACTTTTAACTTTTTACCTTATCAAGCGTTTCATTAAGGAATCCAGAGAAGTTGTATATTTCAAAACAGTTGATATTTAATGAGCCTGTCATGCACTAGATTCTCTATTTCCAGCACATGACAAGAATCAGTTTCAGGGTTTTGTCTTCTTACTAAATATATCTGTACCAGCTAAATCACACTGAACCAGTAAAAATGTTAGGGTTTTTGTTAATGTTCATTATTATTTTAAAGCACAATTGCCATTTAAATACAAGTTTAAAATTATGTATTCCTTTCAACAATAAGGTAATGAGCTCCCTTATACAGAAATCTAGTTATGCCCACAGAAATTTAGTATTTTTTGTAAGTTATATTTTTTCTTTCATGTCTATGCTAGATAGCCGCTTAACTGTTTGGCAAATGTTTTTTTGAAACAAGTTTTGGACACGAGTTGCGGCTCCCCAGTGGCACAGCGGTATGTCTGCGGACTTACTACGCTAGAATCAGGGTTTCGATACCCGTGGTGGGCAGAGCACAGATAGCCCATTGTGTATCTTTGTGCTTAATTAAAAACAAACAAACACGAGTTGCGCAATGAAATAGAAAAGAAGGAATAAGTTTGGTAATCTGATTCAGCTTTCATATAGTGATATATGAATATACCATGCATTTCTAGCTTATTGTAATACTATTGTATTTATTCTTTGTTCTGTACATGGGCAGGTTTCCCATAACATAAGATCGAAAAAGCCATAAATTTTGTTATAGCTGCCTTTGTTTCTTTGTTAATCTCCAGTGGACAATACCTGCTTTGCCTGAAGGGATATTTACGCAATACTAAATTTTGTGGAATGTCGTCAACAGCATTGCCCCTCAATGATCATTTAAATAATATCTAAAAGTTATGACCTCACCTATGTTGTAATGCGAATGTCCAATCACGTGAGTAGGGCTAGTCACCCTGAGTAAGTACGATGTTTCTTGTGAACTAAGAAATTTTATATTTAGATGTTCTGGAAAAAGATCTTGAGTGAGAAGCAATTAAAAGAATCCAGTGTAAATGACAGTCCAATGTAAGGAAAAGTAAGCTCACACAATGTGGTTGTGTTTAGCTTTGTAATAAAGAATGTTCAACCTGCATTTCATTTTGTGTACAGTCTCATTCTTTCATTTATCATTACAATTTAATTGCTAATGAATTTAACATTAATTTTTGATTGATTCCTTGACTGAATCTCCAGTTTTTAAATGGACTTATCTAATAGCTCGAAGGTTTACTCGGTTTTGCATAAATATACTATAGAGTGTATAGGTAGGAAAAAAATTAGGTGCAATGATTATAAAAATTGTGTATTGTGAAAGTTGCTATATCTGCTAAATCATGTTCTGTCCTTATGTGATTAAGCTGCAAAAGTCTTCATACTTAAGGAAATGGTATTTTGAACTACTAGAAGAACTAACAACCAAGAGGAAGAGTTAGCCACTGTGGGGAGATGGTTGCCTAAGAAAGTTATATGGTCTAGGAGAAGTCCTCTCCTGGAGTTAGAAATGTTGACACTGTTGCAAATGTCTATCTCACTACATCTGATGACTCAAGAAAAAGAATTGCCGAAAACTGGTACACTCAGAATTTGCTCTTCTCCTGAGGATTGGCTCCAATGCAAGAGAAACAATGATGACAGAGAATTATCGTGGTTGTGTGGTGCCTTGTGAGTCTGAGATCAGGTGAGGCAATCTTTATTGGACTCCCACATCTATGCCAGCCAGAGTAATTCAACCCTGCCCTCCAGTGGCTCAGCGGAATGTCTGTGGACTTGCAATGCTAGAAACCGGGTTTTGATACCCGTGGTGGGCAGAGCACAGAGAGTCCATTGTGTAGCTTTGTGCTTAACTTCAAACAAACAAACAAACACAGTATTTCGTGGACAGAGCTAATAAACTCATTCTAACTTTTTTAGAAACAAGGATTCTCCTCAACCAGGTTGCAATGCAGATTGTTCAATTTTACAGGAAATTCACTACAATTTGTTCAATTTACAGGATATTCTTGCTGTTAATTATGAGCTGAATATCACGACCGTTTCAAAACTATCATGTCCGCACGTTACTTTCTTAATTAATTATTTAAGATAATAAAAAAACACTACAATATGGCACCCACCGTTATTTATAGTATAACATTACATCATTAGTTATATTTGTTTTTCTTGCCTATTTTGCTACTTCATTCTTCAAATCTTACTGTATAGTTAATGCGAAATCGCTTGAATTTTAACACGTAAAGTATTCAAGTACTTACATAACATTTCTTACCTTTTGTTTTCTAGTATTGTGACTTCTTAAAGTTCTAAGGAATCTTTCTCAATTTTATCGTATGCGTAGTTCCAGACGTATAATTTTAGTAATGGCAAGTTGTCCAAAATTTGGCTGATCTCCTTTCGCTCTAATTGCCTATTGTTCTGGATCATTCCACGTTTGTATTACACTCAATTTACCGAGAAGAAGTGCGCAATATATATTTTTTTTCACAACTAACAGAGCAGGGAATACCTGGATAGTGTAACCTCCATTAGTTATTATGTAACGGAATGGCCCAACAGTTTGAGAGCGAAACACTGTTTTGATATGAGTAGCTCTCGTCTGGAGAGTGTAACCTCCATTAGTTATTATCTAACAGAATGACTCAACAGTTTGAAAGCGAAACACTGTTTTGATATGAGTAGCTCTCGTCTGGAGAGTGTAACCTCCATTAGTTATTATCTAACAGAATGACCCAACAGTTTGAGAGCGAAACACTGTTTTGATAGTGAATAGCTCTCGTCTGGAGAGTGTAACCTCCATTAGTTATTATCTATCAGAATGCCCCAACAGTTTGGGAGAGAAACGCTGTTTTGATAGGGATAGTTTTGATAGTCTCTCAATCTTAGCAGATTTTATGAACAGTGAGTATTAGATATTTTTCTGCGATAATAGTATATTAGTTATATCTTATCGTTTCTTTAAAATGAATAATTTTATTAATAATAATGATTTGTATTAATAGTAGTATTGGTTATTATATTTATTATAACTATTATAAATACTATGTCACATTGTTAGCTTATTTTCTGGACTTAGGACAACTAAAATTTACTCAAGTGGCCTAGTTAAGTATAACTTTAGTCACAATGTGATAGTTCACACCTGGATACTGGCATAATCAAATGATAATTTTAACACAGTGCCGACAAACAGAATTGATTCGAATATATAATATACCTATTTTTGTTCGTTACATTTACTGTTTCTAATTTTATTTTCAGTTTTTATTATATTGCTATTATGATTATTCTACACAATACTAATTTTTATCTTATTATTTTTGATCAAAAAGATTTTATACCATTTTTAGATTAGTTTACGGAGTTAAGACTAACCCAAATCTATTAAGCTGTCCGAGCCCAGTATAGTTTACACGGTTTGGTAGTACATATTCAGGCATCAGCCTAAACAGGTGAATTTCTTGCCACAGTGACGTCATGTTATATTATTGGGTTTACAGCCAAAAATATCGTTGATAGCAAGGGTACCCAACTGATGAAACAGTGCATTCTCATTATTAGAAACAATATGTTTTGAACATTATATTTAATTAGCTATGCTCATAACTGGGTATTCATTTTTAGTTCTGGTCCATTTAGATAGCTAGCTTGCTTTGATCAGAAGTTAATATTAATTATACTTTTTATCATTTATTTTGTTTATATTTTAATGTCAAATTGTATATATTATTCATTTCTTGATATAAATAGCCAACTGTGTTCTTTTTTCCATGAAATTAACAATGTAATGTCCATTTTTTTTTATTGCTAAAAGCAACGATTAGTTTGTTAACTAAAACTTGTAGAATTCATATCCCTATACAATTTCTTTATGGCTTAGAAATACATAATGTATGAGAGTGGATTTGCCAGTCGATCATGTCATAGTTTCATTAATCAAGAAAGAATAATCCTTACAACTTTTGGTCTATAATGACCGTGTCCGATAGCTTCTAATTGTTTTACAAACGTTTTCAAAACAAGTGTCGAACACGAATTAAATAACGGAACAGTGAATAATGTCTTTGTTGTTTTAGAGCAAAGCTATAGAATAGTCTTTCTGCACACTGTCCGCCGCGAGGAATCGAACCGTGGCTTTTAAAGTTGTAAGTTCGTAAACTTACCGCTGACCCACCAAGGGGAAAAGAAGGTATCACTTTGGTAACATGATTGTGTTTCCGTACATTAGTCTTGATATTAGCGGCATATTTTTATTTTTCACGTTGATGTTGGACTCAATTATATCATTTTCCCTTTGCATTGGTGAATGTTATCGTAATATTTTTCTGATCGGATTAAGATTTGCCCAACATATATAGTGATTTTCGGCATTGATTTGTTTAAAAAACTGAGATATATAGCGATATCCAATATTGATTTGTTTAATTAATTACGATTAGTTTAGCACTATGCAGTGTTTTCATATTGACGAAAAAGACATTACCGATGCCTAAGTTAACATTTTCGAGTTTATTCGTATAATATAATCAACTCATAGTTTCCTATACCGTCATTCAGATTTAAAACCTACCCTCAGTGGCGAAGTAACTCAAAAGTTCGGAGTTCAATCCCTGTTATAAGCAGCTAACAACAGATTTTTTGTTAGCAGTTAATGATTGTGTTCCTAATTCCAGCTGTTTTCAAAATTTAACTCATCTACAACATGAACTTCGTCTTGTGACCAGAGACAAAAGTTGACTGGTTTACTCTTTTATTAACTTTCACTATACAAGATGTCCCAGTTTATACATGCGCAACTTCAACTTGTAGTTGTTTTATTAGGACCAAATCAGACCTCTTTGGGCTGCAACTGAAAATATACGTACAAATGGAAACAAATGCCTGCATTGACAAAAAAAAAAAAAGAAAACAACAACTAGAGTATTAAAGAACGATACTGCTATTTCTACATAGGTAACGTTCAAGTTTTAAAATCCAGGCCTGAAATTGTTTCTGATGGAGTTAAGAAAGTTTGAAATGCAAATGGATTGACTCGTGAACCCAAAATGTAAGATATAAATTTTCTTTTTTTTTTTTTTCAGCGTAGAAAGTTTTAATAAAATTATCTTCTTCCGGTGTTATAAAATTTCAACATATTGTGTCTCTCTACGTAGTTTATGCAAAGGTTTGCAATAAATGATTCACATTAGAGACGTTGCTCCAACCGTGTTGCAGACGAAGCGACATTTACATATGCCTAGTGTTGCCGAAATTGAGGCCACTGGCGTTAGCTCCCTTGTTCGTTCCGTATTGTAGGTTGATCATACCCTCGCCAGCACGGAGCTGCTCCTCGGTGAACTCACGCTTGTTTTCTTCGGAAGGTTTAGGACCTAAACAAGGTCCTTTCCACTCAGGATGGAGATAACACTGAAATTAGTAATTAAAATTAATACATCAGCTTTGTCAAAATCTATTCCAGTTTTGAAATTATTGGAACTTAGTAACGACTGGAATTGCATTATTATTGAAATCAAAAGAACTTTGACCAGTCTTATATCTTGCTTGAGGAATGTGAGAAATTTAAGAAATATCTCGTTAAGAGAGAGAGAGAGATTTATAAGAAGGTAAGATATTCATCACTGACATAAGGGCCTTAAGGCTAAAAAAAGTCAAACACTTTACAGCGAAATCAAAACTAGGAATGTGGTTCTTCAAAGTGCCTGAAAATTGATATCTGAATGGAGAACAAAGAGTGAATTATAAACTACGGATCTTATTAGTTATTTTTAGGACTACGAGAACCTTAATAGATGATATTGTTCTTTAAGTTATAGATAATGAAATAATCAGAAACCAGGGAAATGAGAGTTTTTGTTTGTTGTTTTGTTTCAGAGGATCAAGAAACTTTGGGAAACATGTAGAGCACAAGATAAGTAAGCTTTTAAAAAATCACTCATTAGAAATACAGTTAAGACAGTAAGGACCTTGGAAACATTTTTAAAAAGACTGTCGTACAATTATGACGGACAATAAGGTATAAAATTTTCGAATGCTGTTTTTAGGCTGAGTGTACTAAAGATGGAGAAATAAAACTTACTGCCCGTCCGAGAGCCATTAGACACTGAGCCACCTGGGCAATATTCCTCTTCTCCCATAGGTCGACTGTCTGGAAGACATCAATCTCTGGAACTCCCCATTTCTTGGCTGCATCTTGAAATCTGTTGATGTTCTCCATCATCTTGAATTGACCTCCAGAAGTGTTGATCTTTTGGATACAACCAGGCATCATCTTGTTCATCAAGCTAAAGGATATTAAAAAGTTTTTATCCGCGTTCAAAAATCATTATTCCATTCACTAAAAAATACTTAAGCCATCCTTTTAAACCTAAAATGTATTAATAATCGCTGTTCTAGGTATTTGTTTTCAGAACACTCATTGTGAAACCTCGGACCTCAACTGATACATCAAACCTCAGCCGATACACCAAAAACTAAAGTGATATACCTAACCTCAACTGATACACCCAATCACTTACTTGCAGAGGATAACACCATCTCTCAGAATGTCATCAAAGCTACCGGGTGGGAGTTTCTCACCCAAGATGGCTTCTATCCACTGAAGAAGCTCTGCTTCGAGACCTTGGTCACGTTTTGAGGCCATCTGGTGAGCAAAAAAACAAAAATAAAACCATCAACATTGTATCATAGAAATGCCTAATCAAAAGAGTTATATCTATTTAACATTAGATTTTGTATTTTCGAAATCGTTTTTAGTGTAGCAAAATAACAGTTTGATAAATTAAATAGATATTTCCGTAGAAATATATTTCTGAAATTGTTTCATTGGTGCTGTGGCATGAAAGAAACAAATGTTCAACGTCACTCAAAGTGTTTAGGTGAAGTTTATACAGAATAAATAGTAGTCTGTGCGGTGAAAAAAGGAATAATCAATCTTATAATAATTTTTTATTAAGGAATATTATAATAACAACAAAGAAATGCGACAGGTATGTTCGGTTTGTATGAAATGCATGTTACATTTATTAAATATGTATTCCAACTTATTTGGGTTTTTGATTTGTACAGCGATGTTATTCTTCAAGGTTTTATTCTAAAAAGAAAATATAGTTCATAAAAGAATTAGGTTATCTATTCTTATATTATACATCCCCACAGTTATTGTTCTTCAGGCGTAGAAGGAAAAAACACACACACTAAGTTTTCTAATTTATGTTACGAGAGGCACAGCAGTTAAGATTTATAAAGAGGTTATGCGAGGCACGACATTGAAGAAAAGGCTTCTAATGAGGTTATGTAAGGCACAACAATTAACATTTATAAAGAGATTATGTGGGGCATGACAGTTAAGGGTTATAAAGAGGTTATGTGTGGCATAACATTGAAGATAATGTATCTAATGAGGTTACGTGAGGCAAAACTATTAAAATAAGATTTCTAATGAGATAGTTTGAGGCACAATAGTTAAGGTTTATAACTCATAGTTTATACTGTGGAATTATTAGATGGATGTCCTAATAACCAACTCCAGACAGGCCAACAAACAGCACAACCGTACAGGAGAACTAGTTTTACAGGTGTTTCTACCCTGAAGTCAGAAAGTTTTCATCGATAAGTGAGCTAGATTTGAGTAAACTGTTACATTTAAAACAGATATGACTTTTCTCAGTATATTTTGGCTTTGATAAACAAGGACAACATATGCTCATGTGTTAGTACTTTCCCTGGGGCTTACTTTGGCAGCACCGCCAGACATCTCCAAACTAGAATGTACGAGTACATGAAGTTTAACAACATTAATACCACAGTTATTTGTTTGATTTAGTGTAAAGATAAACAATAGGTTATCTGCGCTCTGTCCGCCATGGGGAATCGAACCCTGGGTTTGTAGGTCCGTAAACTTACTGCTGACCCACTGGAGGACCCTCAGTTATCGGAATTATCAACTGTCCTAGGGTCACACAGCGATCCATCAACAAATTTCTATTATTGTAAGAACAAAAAATAAATAAAAAATGAGCGGGAACAACGTATAAAATAAGCTATGTTTTACAGAGATTAGAACTTGGTTTTATGCTTTGTTTAGGCCAGTAAACTGTTATTAATCCTCTACAACAACTTGAATACAATACAGATCTATGCTCAAAATTGAAGTAAAGATGCAATAATTATAAAATAATGTTAAAAAGTGATGATATTAATTAAAATTCAAAAATGAATAAAATCATAAAGCCATAAATTAAACTATATGACAGTGGATCGTACAATTATGGCGCAAGAAAGATGAAGCAGTGGATTAAATGAAAAAAAAAAGTCGATAAATAGATATGCAGAGAAAATATATTTCAATAAATAAGATAACAACAATAAGCAGTATAAGAACAACAGTAGATGAATTGCCAAGTAGAAAAGGCCACTACTGATAAAATGACAAAATCGTACAGGAGTAAGATACAACAGCAGGTAAAGTGACAATAGCACACAGGAGTAAGATACAACAGCGGTTAAAGTGACAAAAACGTAGAGGAGTTGGATACAACATCGGTTCAAGTGACAAAATTGTTCAGGAGTTAGATACAACAGCATTTAAAGTGACGAATCGTTCAGGAGTTGGATACAACAGCATTTAAAGTGAGAAATCGTTCAGGAGTTAGATACAACAGCATTTAAAGTGAGAAATCGTTCAGGAGTTAGATACAACAGCATTTAAAGTGACGAATCGTTCAGGAGTTAGATACAACAACAGTTACAGTGACGAATCGTTACAGGAGTTGGATACAACAGCATTTAAAGTGTGAAATCGTTACAGGAGTTGGATACAACAGCATTTAAAGTGAGAAATCGTTACAGG